ACCTTTGAAGCATTGGCTCCCTCTTTTTCGAAGCGATGGGCACCTGTCGGAGCCAGCCCAGACTCGGGAATAACAAACTTTTCCAGCCAATTGCATCCCGAGATCCCTTGAACCCATGAGCTGGGATTCATCTGGAAAGCTGTCTGAGATCAAGCCCTTCTTGCAGAGCCCCAGCCTAATCAGTTTTTGATGTCCTGCTGACATTTCTCTGCCAATCCAATTGCTCTGAGCACTTCCCCTAAGATGGATCTCATTACTGAATCTCAGCCCTTCCTCCAGCCTCATGGACCCTCCCAAAATCCAGCAGAGAGCCCCTGATCCTCRCTTCCAGTGCCCCTGAGCAGCCCTTCGAGGCATGGGAATGAACACAAGTGATTTTACCTTTGCAAAGGTCACCTCCAAAACTTGGGACCAAATTGGAATGAAAAAACCGCAGCAGCTGAGCCAAGTGTGGTCTCCTTTTGGTGCCAGCCACCGCAGCCCAAGAACAGCTTGATTTGCACCAGGAGATGGAAATAAACTGCATTTCCACCCCCTCACAGGCTCCCTCCCCACTCTCCTTGCACAAAACCCATCACCAGCAGCTTTGGTTCCTCCAGAATTCCCGTCCCAGGAGGGCACAGAGGGAGCACGGCTCATCCCAGCCCTGTATTCATGGGAACACAACTTCCAGAGGACAAATTTTCCTGTTTCACATCCCAAATCCACCTGTCCCTTACGGAAGTAGCCCTGAGCTCACAGCCACGGGTCCAGCTCACCCCCAGCCCTGCAGGCAGAGGCTGCTGGACTTCAACAGACTTTTCACGTGAATTTTGGGAAAATCTGGAAAATTTCTCTGTTGCAAGGCTGTGTCTTGTCCCCTCTTCGAGCTTCACGTGAGCCAGACTCAGACACGGCAAAATCCATCAGCAAAACCCTTCAAACTCCCACCCTGTACGAGGGAAGGAGCAGACACAAATTATTCTGCATTTCATTAAATTCAGGAGAGAATCCTTCCCTGGGAGGGTGGTGAGGCCCTGGCACAGGTCCAAGGGTTGTAAATTTAGGATGCTCCATAAATATTTTATAACATAATTATTAACGTTATTAACAAAAAGATCCCCAAAATTATTTTCACGGTTAGTCCTTTTAATAATTACTGTTTTCTGTTGAATTCAGCACCACCTCCCTCGCTTGAATTTGCAACTTTTAACATTTTCAGCACGAAATCTGAGCACCTGCTTCCCTGCTAGGAACATTTTCCCTTCCAGCCACGCAAACTGTTGGAACAAAGCCCAGCCCGAGCCATCCGGGCTCATGAAAAGCGGCTCATTTTCCGATTCATCCAAACAGATTGCTAAATATTATTTACTTTTTGTTCCATAATGGCTCGGAAAAAAGCTGGATGAAAAGCTTAACGAGGTCTAATCCGGGGGAGGGAAGGGAGAGAAGGAATGAAGAGGCGGTTAAGGAGCAGTTGGAGCTTCCTTATCGCCCTTATCAGCGGAGCTATCAGTCAGCGAGCCCTCATTAGGCACAAAAGCCATTGTGCCTCCTTCCAGAGGTTCTCCGGGAGCTGGGAGCTGCTGGGAGCAAGGCTGGAGCGCTGACTGACAGCCTCTGCTTGGGAAAAGCAGCTCCACGACAATCAGGGACAATTTGTCCCTGCCAGGAGTGGCCCCTGTGGCTGTGCAGGGGGACAGAGCAGAGCTGTTCTCAGCAGCAGCAGCAGCGATGGATTCAGGGTGAGAATGGGGATGAAGCCAAGGTTGGTTCAGAAAAACTCTCCCAATTTCCCTCACCAACCCATCCTGGGCTCCTCCAGAGATTCTGGAGCAGGGAAGCAAATCCTGGATCTCACTTCTGATGCTGACCAAAGTTTGCTGCTCCAGGAGTGGGGTTTTGGTTTGCTTTCCCTTTATCCCTTTTTCTTTTATCCCATTATCCCTGTATCCCTTTATCCCTTTGCGTCAYGGAATTGTCAAAGTTGGGAAAAACCTTTAATGGCCCCAAGTCCAACCATCAACCAACACCACCMCACGGTCACCACTGTCCCGTGTCCCAAATGCCACATCCACGGATTTTTTATCATTTCCACAGGTTTTTGATCACTTTCAGGTATGGAACTCCACCCCTGCCCTGGGAGCCTGTTCCAATTCTTGAACACCCTTTCCACGAAGGAATTTTCCCCAAAATCCAATMTAACCCTCCCCTGGCCCAGCCTGAGGCCGTTCCCTCTCCTCCTGTCCCTGTTCCCTGGAGCACAGCCCGACCCCCCTGGCTGTCCCCTCCTGTCAGGGAGTTGTGCAGAGCCACAAGGTCCCCCCTGGTCCCACTTTACTCCAGGCTGAGCCCCTTTCCCAGCTCCCTCAGCCCCTCCTGGGGCTCCATTCCCTTCCCTGGCCATGCTCCGGCCCCTCCATGTGCCCCCTTCCCTCGGGAGGTGCCCATGGCTGTGTCCAGCAGCTCCGGCGTGGATGCAGAGCCGGTGCCCAGCAGAGCTCCTGCCCCAGCAGCTGCTCCCACAGCTGTTCCCTCCAGTTGGTGGCTGAATTTTCCAAAGTATCTGTCTGGAATTAAACAGCGACAGCGCTTTGGCAGCCATCGGGAAAAACCCATCTCTGGATTGGATTGGATCCCACTGGAGCACTTCCCTGGTGGAACTCACTGGGATGGGAGGGATGTGGCCATGAAGGAGATTCCCGTTCCCAAACCCCTGGGTGGGATGAGCCCATGAAGGACATCCCCATTTGCAACCCCTGGGGAGGATGTGGCGATGGAGGATATTCCCATTCCCTTTCCTTTTCCCTTTCCCTTTCCTTTTCCCTTTTCCTTTCCCATTCCCATTCCCTTTCCCATTCCCAAGCCCCTCTTCTCCTCAGGGATCCAGAAGGGTCAGGCTGCTGGGACAATCCCTCTCCTGTGCCAAGCCTGCTCCATGCCATTCCCTGCTCCAGATCCCATGGAATGGGGCACAGGGAGCACCCAGGGARGGGCAGAGCTCCAGGAGGCTGGGAYRGAGGCCTTGCCCACCAGCAAGGAAAAAGGGAGGAAAAACCAGCCCTTGAACCACCTGACCACAGCCCCATTGCGCTGCTCCAATCCCACTGCAGTGCTCCGGTCCCACTGCAAACAAACAGCGCAGGCAGGGATGGAGGCCACGTGTTTCCATGAATTCTCTTGGCACRGGAGCCCGTGTGGATCTTGGATGGGGCTGGTGCTGGGGCAGGAGAGCYGGGGTGGCCAGCACACATCCCAGCACTCTGCACCTGGCCCAAATCCATCCCAACCCGCTCCAATCCCTGCTTTCATCATCCTAATCACGAGCAGATTCCCCACTCCATCCCTCCCTCACAGAGSTACCTCCAGCTTCCCCCTTTTCTCCCTCCCTCTGGCTGGAATCAGCAGGTRAATCCCAGCCCTTAGGAATTTTTGTTTTGTTATTCCTGCTGGACAAAGCCTCTTTAATTTCCCTTTCCCTGCGTGGATTACAATCGATATCAATAACGAGATGTTCCCCCCGCCCCTGGCCCCAATTACCCGCCCAGCCTGGGGATCCTGCCTCGTGGATGGGACAGGAATGGTCCCCATTAGGCTCCAGAGCTGTTGCTGGGATTGATTTGGGAGAGCTGGGATTATCCAGGCTGATTGCTGTGGGCCGGGGTCAGCAGTGGGGCTGCCTCAGGGCTGGATTTTCCCCGAGAGCTGCCAGGTGCCCGGCAAAACAGGATCATTTCCTGCAGCCACCTCCATGGCCGGGATTAGGAAGAACAGCACTGSARGGTCTTTGCTTCCCAAGTTTTCCTMRGGATGAAGTTGGATCCTYGGTGCTGTGCCAGAGCCCCACACTGGGGAAAAACCCAGTGAAAGTAAATTACAGGGACACAGGAAAGGAGGTTTAAAGCTGAAAAGGCAAACAGAGCTTGTTGGACCTGCAAAATCCTATTTCGTAAAGCCATGGAATTGTAAATGTTGGGAAAGCCCTTTGAGATCGTCAAACCCAACCAACAACCTATGACACCACAATGGTCACCATCAAGCACGTCCAAAAGTGCCACATCCATAGGGATTTTGAGTATCTTTAGGGATGGGGACTCCAGCAGTGCCCTGGGCAGCTGGACAGCCCTTTCCAGGAGAAAATGTTTCCAATATCCACCCTGCCTCTCCCCTGGCCCAGCCTGAGGCTGTTCCCTCTCCTCCTGTCCCTGTTCCCTGGAGCACAGCCCGACCCCCCCGGCTGCCCCCTCCTGTCAGGGAGTTGTGCAGAGCCACAAGGATCTCATCCTTTGCCCCAGGATGAGCCCCTTTCCCAAATTGTATTCCCAAATATTTGACAGGCACCGATTCCAGAGGAGGATCATTCCAACCCTTGCAGTGGCTGTGATGTCAATCCAGGGAAGGGAATATTCCTCCCTCCACCAACCCACCCCAGGACGCAGCATTTTCCTTTTTGCCACCATTTCTACAAAATTCAGACACCAAAAGAGAAGGGAAAGGAGAGGGGAGCCGAGTTTGCCTCTGTGAGCAGAGAGGGGCTGACCACAGAGCAGCCAAGAGCCCCAGTTTGTAACCAGAACACACCGGAATCACCGCAACCTTCACAGAAATAAAACCACGGAGTTGGGAATTGCCAGCGCCCTGCTCTGCATGTTGGAGAGCACAGGGATGCTCTGTTCCTGGCACATGGCCATGTTTTGGCAGTGTAGGCAGGAACAACACCACAAAAAAATCCTTTCTGTCCCTGCCCTGCAGCACTTTCCCAGTGGAAGTTCCCAGTGAGGCTCAGGTTTGCTCCTGGATCCACGGTGGGGAGGGGAGAGAAGGAGAGAAATTGAATTTTAGGGCCGTGGTTGGGAAAAGCAGCATCACCCAGCTGGCACATGGACAGGGCMTGGCTGCCAGAGGCTGGGATAAAGAGGGAAAACATGGAGCTGCTTGCCAGGGGAGGAAAGATTTGGGAAAATTATTCCACCAAAGCAAAGCAGACAAGAGAAATGAGGTTTTGTGTGCACAGCGCTCACCTCGTAGTGATAATCCATGCAGGTTAACTCCCTCCAGCAGCGATCTCCTCGGATTTTAATCAGCCCCTGGGGGAAAAAAAGGGCAAATATACGGTTACAAATATTTTAACTGACTTTATTTTGTGTCTCAAGGCACCAGATTCTGTGGTGGAGCTGTAGAAGCTGAACGAGACCCAGGGTGCATCCACAGCCCGGGTGCAGGCGTTGTTCCCAAGGGAACACAATGGATGTGACTCATTCCATTGCCTGGTTACCAGGAATCTGACTGGGAATCCTTCTAGAATATTCCACAATCCCCTTCAAGGATGGCAGCCTTCCCCACACCTGAGCCCAGGGCTCCTGACAGCGATTTCAGCATTCCTGGGAAGCAGTGATGGGAAAAACCAGGATCTGCCCCTGGGATAATGGATAAAATCCAGCAGGATTCATGATCTGAACATCCAAAYCCCACTGTTCGGGGCAAAGCCACCTCTGCTGCTTGGGGACAGGGAAAGAGTGCCACGGAGCGGGAATGGGGACAGGGAGTGGGGATGGGGACATGGAGCAGGGATGGGGACACAGAGCTGGATACAGAGTGGGGATGGGACAGGGAGTGGGGATGGGGACACGAAGCAGGTATGGGGATACGGAGCAGGGACAGGGACATGGAGAGGGGATGGGGTCAAGGAGCAAGAATGGGGTCAAGGAGTGGGGATGGGGACACAGAGCTGGATACAGAATGGGGATGGGGACACGGAGCGGGAATGGGGACACGGAGTGGGAATGGGGACATGGAGTGGGAATGGGGACAGAGAGTGGGAATGGGGACACAGAGCTGGGATGGGGACACGGATCTGGACACAAAGCTGCAATCAAAGCAATCAGAGAAATCCCAGAGGAGCAGGGGCAGTTCCCAGCTCCGAGCACAGGCTCTGCACCCCCATTTCTGCCTCACTCTGCTCAGGGGCTGACAGGGACACGAGCAGGGATCCCAGCCTGTCCCACCCCAGGACCCCAGGGCGACAGGAGGGGGACATTTCCAAACCACCGGCTCTGCTCCGGGGCTGGCAGCAATACCGGGATTGAATTTCTTTGCCTCGGTGATGAGGAGCAGAAAGGAATCACTCGGCCAGAGCGGGAAGCACACCTGGGCAGGGATGGGCTGGGCAGGAAGCCGTGCAATCAGGGCGGCTTTGATGTCCCGGAGAGCGCCCTGATTAGGATCACAATATCCCAAATTGAGGAAAGCTCCACTGGTCAAAAGGCTGAGGCAGCTCTGTCATCTGCACACAATTAGGGGGGTTTGGCCCCCTCTGCCACCGCCCTGATGGTGGCGGCTCTGCCTTCCCAGGGGACAAACACCGCCGGTTTCGGGAAGGTCCCGGGAGTTTCGGGAGGGACCCACATCTGCTCCGCCGGGAGCATCCTGAGGCTTCCTTCCATCTGCAGCAGGGAAGGGATCAGGCACCTTCCAGGGTTAAAACTGAGCTCAGAGGAGGAGATTYCAGCATTGTGGCATTGTGAATTCTATCTAGATTCCAACAGGTTGGAAGTGACCACGCTGGCTCCTCTGCCCCAACCTCCCTGCTTGTCCTAAAACAAATCTTCACTCGCAGCATTAAACAAAGTTTAATGCAATCGGGGCTTGAGAAAAATTCCAAATTCCAATTAAAGCCCATCCAAAACTGCCCAGACCCCAGGAATATGCAGGAATATCCAGGTCCCGAGGCTGTGTGTGTGTCTGACTGACACCTGAGAGCACAGGGCAGAGTTTATGAGCTCCAGGCTGGTAGGAAAGGGATGAAAAGCAATATCACCCAGGATCTGTGCGATGGCAAAGCAGTTTTATCTGCAAGGATTCACTCAGCAGCCTTGCCGGCTCAGGGAACTCTCTGGAAATGCTGGAATATTCCACCAGCACAGTTATCTTGATGACCTTCCCTCCTCCCYGCCCAGGCCGCTCTCGAGCTCTGTTATCCAGCAGGGATAATTAAAACTCCAATTAAAACAAGGATCAGGGAGAAGCAGCCCCCTCTGAAAATCCCAATTTTCCCTGCAATGACTCACTCAGGCAGCTCATCCCTTTTTGTTTACTAGAAAGGAGGAAAGTCACAGAAAACTCTTCAAACCAGAGGTTCTGCAGCACCAAAACCTCCCACTGCCGTCATTAAAGAGCTTTTCCAGACAGTTTTAAATTCAGACCCTGAGCTGCTTCCGAGGCCACTCCACTCCCACACCAGCACCTGAATTTCCCAATTTTCCCAAGGATTTGCACCAAGGAACGAGAGCAAAATGAGCACAGAAAATCCCTGTGTCCCAAGCTTCAGCTCTGCTGAGGAGGGGCAGGGAAGGAAAGCGAGGAATCTCTGAATCCTGGGACTGCTGAGACTGGAAAAAACCCCACAGATCCCCAAATCCAACCATCAACCTGCAGCACCACCACAGCCACCCCCACACTGTGTCCCTGAGTGCCACCCCCACACCGTGTCCCCAAGGGCCACATCCACAAGTTTTTAACTCTTCCAGGCAACCCTTTCCATGAAAATATTTTCCCAAATTCCCATTCCCTGCTCAGCACGGTGCATCTGCCGTGCATCCCAAACCTCCTTTCCCTGGATGAGGAGAGGACAAGCAGGAAAAGGAGCCAGAGGGGAGGAGAAGGGGACAATCCCGTGTAACCTCAGCAGAGCTGGAATTTTGGACATCAGCCACCGACATCTCACAAAGAATATTTGCTGGAAATAGATCAGAGTTCCAGAAACCAATGGCAAGGACAAATTAAATGGAAAACAAAGGAAGGAAAGGAAAGATTGAATGTAAATCCAGCTCAGCACCACATTCCTGACACTGTCCCCTGTCACTGCCATCATGGAAAAGATGTGATACATCAAACTCTGCAAACAAAGTATTTTCTCCTTTTCTAAATACTAATATCACTTTAAAAGTTGCTTTTTCCCCTTCTATTTAAGTTTATATTTAAGNCACTGTCCCCTGTCAATGCCATCATGGAAAAGATGTGATGCAGCAAACTCTGCGAACAAAGTTGTTTCTCCTTTTCTAAATACTAAAATCACCTTAAAAGTTGTTTTTTTCCCTTCTATTTAAGTTTATATTTAAGTTCAAAAAATTTGGGAAGTTTCTTCCTGGTCCTGAGTTAGCAGTAGCTAAAAAACGTAATTCTGCCTTTATTTTGGCATAAGGATTGGAGACGAATGGGCAGGAGATKGGGATTTTTGAAAACATTTTTGCATTTTCCCTTTTTATGGATCAGCTCTAAGAGACAAAACTAAGAAGTGTGTTTTGGGGGAGGCAGGAAAACGGTTTTTAAATTCATTTTCCCTTCCCAACGAGGAAAACCAGGCAACACCACCACCGGCTCTGGGGCGGGCGAGGAGATTCTCTGATTTTGGGAAAATTTTCAGGAGCACAAATTAAACCAGAGCCCAAGGCGAGGAAACAGGTGGCCAAGTGAACCAGCAGAGGCCCTTTCACCCCCGTGGCCTTGCCCTGAATCTGGCCAGCATTATTAAATTCCCATGGCTGGAACGGTGGCCATGGAGCCACCAGGGTCAGGAACTCGTGGTGCTCTGGTTCCTCGGGATAATGAGCACGGAGAAGGGGGAACGGGAGGTCTCTGTCACAGGGATTTACAGCAGCACGAGCAGGGGGTGCTGCCCTTGGGGWGAATTAAGTTCAGGAATGAAATGGGGGCTCTGTTCCCTGTCCCCTGCCGGGTTTGCTCCCCGCAGGAGCTCGGGGTGGGATGGGGACGCAGCACTCGGAGAGCTCTGATCTCCCAACTCCCGGAATTCAGGGGCATTAAATCCACTRGGATTTCTCCCAGAGCAAGGAAAAWTCCCTTTAGGATTGGGTTTTTAATGGTGGGTAATATATCAAAAAAATCCCGCAGCACCAGCCTTGCTCCATCACTTCCCTCATCTCCATTCCTGACCCTCCTTCCCAAAAAATCACACCCAGGGCACAAGCCCTGGCTCATCAGACAATTCCACAAGGATTCAGCACTTGGAACGTGGAATAAAACATTCCCAAAGCGCTTGGAACATGGAATAAAACATTCCCAAAGCAGGTGAAGCGCTCCCTGATCGACGGGATGCCAGCAAAGGGGATTGAGGGATCCAGGGGGGATCCAGCCCCCAGCCCAAGGCAGGGAAGCGCTCGGCTCYGGCCCCAAATCCTGCCCTTTCATCTTCCCAGGATGGCTGTGCCCAGCCGTGCCCCTTCCAGGCTGCTGTACTTGGGAGAATCAAACAGAAAAAAAGCCGGAATAATTAAAATGTCATTCAAGCCCTAAGCCCAGATGAGTCACTGTTCCAAAAAATATCTGAAAAATTCCTTCAGGAGTGGGGGATAATTATATTCCTCCCTATCTATTGATTTTTCTCTACAATGCAGATGTCAGATTTTCCACGGGTTTTTTTTCCCCTTTTTCTCCTTTTTTATTTTTTTCTTTTTTCCCTGGAGTGAGTGTCAAGGAGGAACAAAGCACTTCTTTGAGACTTTTTCAGCCCAAAATTAATTCTGAAAAAAAAAAAAAAAATGGCACAGACAGGCCAACAGCACGGGAAGCTGAGCAAAAGGCTGGTGACTCAAGCTATGTCTGCAAAATTCCCTATTGATCCCAGCTCCGGAGGGAAGGGTGGGGAATGGGGCACCCACGTTATAAATTTAGAGTCAATTTAAAGACCTTTCTGTGTCTCTGCTGTACAAAAGATTGGCAAAAACCCACCCAAAATTCCCAATCTGAATTCTACATTTTAATTTTGTTCCTGCTATAAATAAGAGACGTTTCCAGAGAAAATCCCAAATCCGTGCGCTTCCCAGCTCTGCTGCCCGCAGAGAAAGCGACGCCGTCATCTCTATGAAAGCCAACCTTTGCCAGAATATTCAGAAACAAATTTAGACCCCAAATCATGGGAGGGGAAGGAGTTTCTGAAGGTAAAATTTAAAAATAAAATCAAAAAAATAAAATTTTAAAACAAAATCATTTAAGGATAATAGGACAGGGATGGAAGAAGCTCATGGAGAATCTAAATCTGAGGAACCCAACATGATCAACTTCTTCTGGG